TTGGCCCTCATTGGGTTGATGAATTGAAAACTGCCGAACTTTGAACTAAAATTTATTTAACATGTAAACCACCAATCTTATCTTGAAATAATTTCCATTATTATTGACGACTTCTGCCCATTTTACAGGCAATTTGCGGATTTCTCTTTTGTTTAGGATTTTGGTTTGTGTGTGAGACAAGTGTGAGACTCCGCATTCTGAGGCACTGGAGATGTCCGAGTTTGAGCACTTTCTCTTCAAAAGAAACCCATTTTTGTGTCAATAGAAAAGTGGTAGAGAATCAAAAATTAGGCTTATAGCCAAATTTCCAAAAAGATACACTTAGTAGTCCCAGCTTTAAATGCAAGTTTTGTGAAAATTCGTACCTGGGCATTTCTTGAAAAACCAGTTTTTGAACTGTTCTGAAAATTTCCATATAAGCTTGCATTTTTGATTCTCTACAGCTTTCTTTCCATTGACACCAAAATGGGTTTCTTTTGAAGAAAGTGAAGAAAGTCACATATGACAATAGCCAGCAGTTTTCAATTCACTAACCCAATAAGACAATGGAATAATCTCTTAAGCTCAAAAACAACAATTAATTATAAAATCTACGCGAAATTTTACATAGAATAGAAACAAACCCAACATTTTTTTTGATGACTTTGACAAATTTTGGTCAGAGGAGTACAAAAAATGTTATGCGGTACAATGAAGTAAAACAGTTAAATTCGAGTTTAGGGCTTCGGAAAAATCGTCTCTTTCCATCTTTTTCTGCATTAATACGTTTTTAGAGTTAATTAATATAAAAGTAATGCTTTTTGAGCTCCACTATTGCAAATGCGAGGTTATCTTTGACTAACAAAAATGTGCACATTTTGACAAATTTCATTTTTTCGAGAGCAGCAATCAAATTTAAAGCGTTATATGAAACGAATGTCCCTTTAAATTTTTACACAGACTCATGGCTGAATCAGTGGCTACAATGGCTCAACCAGGCGGCCAAACCGATATCTTTCCACGCGAGTGGTAAAATACCGGTAGACAAGAGTTATCGTGTATAATTGTAAAGTTCAGTTATCTTTGCCAAACTGACTTCTTTTATTCACGATATTTTTCAGACAGCCTACAATAATGATTGAATGGTCGATACGGCACTTGTGGTAAATAGTGTAGCTAAACGGAGGGTCAAACAGTACTTCACAGACTGGCGTCATGCCACTGATGGGAGTGCAGAGTTGAAACATTGTCTGAATAGGAATATTAATATTGTATTATCAAGTTTGTCTAAGTTTCAGTGCCAGCTCAAAAAGTTCTTACTACAAAATCTCATACTTTTAAATCAATTTTACAATTTAGCTTGCTGATGGGGCAGGAATGGGGAAATACCCAAAAACTTAAGAAAGATGAAGATCAGGTCAGCTTGGGTTGCCTTTGAGTTCTAGGGTTGCCTTCAATCAAGTATCAACAAGCTTGTGAGAACATTTGTACTGTATGGATCCTCTGATATCCGATGGCCGGAGAATGCCGCTGCTTGCAGCCACGTGTAAAGTAAAAACCAACAAAGCAATAGAATTCAAAAACATTTGTACAGAACTTGTGTCGACGATGTGACGGTGATTAAATTTCAAGTGATCCGTCCTCATGGGACAATTCTGCACTTGTCCGAATGCTTAAAGCGGAAAGAGAATATGATGTCGCATGGACAAGAAGAAGCTATTCGACAGCGGGTCCAAAATTGAATCTGCTTCTATTCATATACTGAGCTTCAGTAAGTTCACTGAAATCAAATATGAATCCGCGTCAGTGAACTGTACTTTTGATTGGGAGGTACTTGGAAGTTAAGACTTCAAAACTATATTATTGAAATATAGGATACCGTTCGAGTCGCAATAATCATGATCGATTACAAAGTTTCAACTCTTTGCTGAAACTCCGGCTGAACTGGTGATTTGATTTGGGTTAAACTCTCTGCCCGTTTTGAAAATCCCAGCTCCATCTCGATATTACAGTAAATCCAATTCAACAGTGCAATACACAAACGCTACAGTAATTCCTACAGTCCAGCCCTGGAAGGCTGAGCTTGAGGTTGGAACCAAAGCCAAAAAAAAAGTTCTGGCCAGTCAGCTGTTAGGCTGGTGGGGCCAGGTCAGGTCAAAAGTCTCGCTTTCAGGCCAGATCCCGGATCTTGTCTTAGCCTGACTTGCCTTTGACACTTATTCGGGAAGGGTACTAGGTCATTGTGGGATTTCCAAAAACGAGACCAGCTCATCTGATAGGAAATTGAATTTTGCATCGGAATCTGTAATCAAAATTTCAGGAATTGCTCGCAGACGCGAGATTTTTTGACCCGAAAGTTTTCGCCGCGCACTCTTGGGTCGAGCTTATCAAATCCTCATTTGTCAAACGTTTTTTTGCTTTTTATACTTGACAATGAGCTTCTTGATTCTCGCCAAATTTTTACACTGTGTCGCTCCTATTAGAGCCGCATTCCGCTCTATTGTTCCGGTGCCCGACTTTCGGATCCTCAAAAAATTGCCATAAATGGGGTACTTCATTGGCTTGAAAAATTTCCATTTTTGCTTAAATCACTCTCACCCGATTCCTTTTGGTCTAAATACGGACGGGTTAGTAATTTAAAAACAAATCCCCGGATGTCCGATCCTCCAAAACAATCCCGCTGTTTTTTCTTATAATTTTTTTCTCAAAAAATGTTCCATCAAAAATTTTCCCCCAGGATCGATTTGAAACTGGCCGCCATGATTTTTAAATTATAATTAGGACCCATATGCATCATTACTGTTTGCCAAATAATTTACCTTAAAAGGCAAATTTTTTTAAGCATTTCTTTATTTAACACTTCTTGTTGCAAAATAATAGGACCCCCATGTTTCTTTTTGATTTTCTACCTGTAATAACCATGTTCTTTGCTTACTTTTTGCTAATTTTTATTTTTTAGGAAGATGGGGCGTAGTGAAAAATCGCTTTTTTTGACTGAACAGATGAAAATTTTGTTTTTTAGGAAAGAAAGTTGTCGAGTCAGAATTTCGTAAAAAAAAAAGCGCTGGCACTAAGTTGTCTCAAATTTCTTTGAAGGATCCTTTCAAGTATTGCAAGTTAAAATCTCCTGGACGTTACCGGAAGCTCATTATCCGCGCTGAACGGCATATGGAACGTCTGTTGTCGAATTCAGGTGATGTCGCTACAGACCTCATGGTACACCATTTTTTCTCTCGTCCACAAAAGCACTCTTTCTCGAGCGCGATCAAGTGTTACATCCGTTAGCATCGGAAGAGCAATCATGAAGAAAGCACCGAAACTGAAGCCGGTACAATAAAGTGAAAAAGGATTTCTTGGGTTCGGGATCATATCACCATCGACGGAAAAAAGGGAACTTTTTGCCTTGAGTTGTTAACTATTTTTTTCTTTGTAGATCATCTTCAGCGATCAGAAAAAATTTAATTTGGATGGTCCCGACGGCAACAAGTACTATTCGCACAATTTGAGAAAAGATCCAATGCTTTGTGGGCGTCGAAACTTCGGAGGAGGATCGCTGATGAGATGGGGCGCTTTTAATGTGGATGACGTTCTTGATTTAGAATTTGTGACTTGTCGCATGAACCCGAACGATTACCAGAACGTCCTTGTGGATCAATTACTTCCTTTCCTAGCACAAAATCGCGGGAAACACTATATTTTTCAACAGGATAATGCTTCAATTCATGTCAGCCAATCCACTAAAGCTTTTCTGGAACGTCAAAACATCGATTTTCTCGAATGGCCTGCCTGCTCACCGGACTTAAACCCAATGGAAAACTTATGGGACATCCTCGTGAGGAATATTTATGCTAATGGAAAGACTTACGACACGATTTCGCAACTCAAAAAAGTAATTTTGCAAGCTTGGACGTCAATTCCACCGCAAACGCTTCAAAACTCGATGTGAACTCGATGAAAAGTCGACTACTCGACGTCATCGAGAAAAAGGGAGCATCTATTGATTATTAAGGAACTTTTCATTCGTTTTTCTTTTGTTTGTTCTCAAATTTATTGTTATTTTTTATGTGGTCCTATCATTTCGCAACAGGTGTTAAATAAAGAAAAAGTTATAATTTTGTTGCAATTTGTTCGGATAATGTTAAAAATGGTATAGATGCCTAATTTTGTATATATTTCTGGGATTTAAAAGCTATTTCGCATTATTAAATTCCAAAAAATGTAAAATTTAGGGGTGGTCCTATCATTTTGCCCTCTTCACCAATTGGATTATCAGTGCCGAAAGGAATCACAAGTAGACGGTAACGTACTTCTGACTTTCTTTGACACTTTATCAGTCTAGCTGCAAATTTTTTGCGGTGCTGAAAAGTCACAAGAAACGAGACATGTGAAATATCCAATTTGTATACCCATTTGGGTCTTTGTAAAACAATTTTAAATGTTAATTCTCTAGATGGAAAATTCCTTGAGCTATCTCTTTTAATAGTGAGAATTTTTTGTTTTATTATTCGAAAAAACCAAGCCCATTTTTGAATCGAAGGCTTTCCCCATTGCCTTTTGATAGTTTTTGAACGGTGACTCATTTGCTCTTTTCCCCTGCCTCCCGTTATCTCCTTTTTGCTACAAAACAAAAAGAATTTTTCGCGTAAGCACACATTTACTTTTTCGCCCCTTTTCCCTTGTTGAAAAAGATAAATCGTGCAATTTTTTTTGTTACAGAGAATTTATGAAAGATAAGAGTTGCCGTATGCAAGAGAATTTGGAGTAGAACGCAATTTGTTGTTGAGTCATTTTGACAGCATTTCTAGGCTCAAGATAGACTGTTATCAATTTAGAAGCTTTTATTGTTCCTTTTTCCAAAGCAATTTTGTCGTGTAAGCTTAATTCATAACTTACTTAAACTTAACGGGTGGGCTCAAGAATACCCATAACTTGGTTTTGATTCCTTTTGCAAGACCGGTCATAATGTCAAGGCTTGCATGAATTGTAAAAGGTTTTACAGAGCCATTTGAAACTTTTAGCCGATGAGAACGGAGGGGTATCACGGTGGCACTTCTCGGAAGGTTTCCGATCAAAAGTTCGAGCAAAGAGGTAAGCATGTTGTCGATTTTAATTTATAGTATGAAATGGAAATGACCCACTAACGTTTAAACGTTTGCATTCTGTTTTGATCAACCTGTTTATCCAAAAAATCAAAAGCTCTAACCCTAGGCAAGAAAGAATTACGACCTCAACGTCCACCGCCATCTGATTCGCCTCAACTTCCACAAAACAGCCACGCTTGGAGCTTGTACGGGAGTACGACAAATCCTTCGAATGGTTAGTTTTAGGAAAGGAAAGTTTTCATACTGATAAGGGAACCCAAATGCTATGCGACCTATACCATTCGACGCAGAATTTTATGCTGATTTCGAATATGTATTCGGTTTTTGCTAAATGACAATCTGTCAGGAGTGATAAGCGTTTGTTAGGACTCTGAAAGTGTTGACTATTGTCTCAAATTTTCTAGGGCTCTAAAAGTGTGGTCATTTGGGTCTTAGCGGCTTCTTTGCGGACGGAGCTAGGTCTAGCCGTGGCCGAGTGGTATAGCGCTCGTTTTCCAGAGCAAGACCTCACAAGTTCGATCCTCACTCTTAATTTTGCCTTCGTTTTTTGAAATGAATTAAAATCAAATTGAAATTGAAATCAATTAAAATGAATTCCAGGCAAGCCAAGCTCTTCGACAAATCCGCCAGTTTTGCCGGACTTACCCACTTCTCATCAATCAAAGAAATTCGGCTCAACGACGAAAAAGTCGATCAATATTTTGGTGCTCGGACAGACAGGAGTCGGGAAATCAACATGGATAAACGCCCTTGTCAACTATTTAACTTACAAAACGCTAGATGAAGCGATTGCTGCCGAGACGCCGATTTGCGTGATTCCAACTAAATTCACAATGTATGACAACAATTATCAGAGACACGATGTCCATCTTGGAGCACACGACAATGAGGTTTTTGCGGACAATGGTCAAACAGCCACTCAAAGCGCTAAGACGTATTTGTGTGAGCAAGATGAACACAATATTTATATCATTGACACTCCGGGAATGAATGATACCAGAGGACACTTGAAAGATGAGGAAAACATTCAGAATATTCTTCGATCAATCGCACCTTTCAAAGAGATCCATGCAATTTTTTTCTTGTTCAAAGCGAATGAGGCTCGTCTCACGGAATCTTTCCGCTACTCGATCGGGAAATTGCTTGGAAATTTGAGCAAAATGGCGCTCAACAACGCTTGTTTCGTTTTCACAAATGCCAGGGGGACACTTTATCGACCAGGGGACACAATGGGACCGTTGAAGGCTTATTTCAATGAGCTGAAGGAGAAAGAAGGACTTTCAGTGAGAATTGATGACAGCAACATCTTCTGTTTGGACAATGAAGCTTTCCGATTTGTTTGTGCTCATTTCAGTGACATTCAATTCGATACAAGGGAAATAAAAACGTTTGGTGATAGCTGGAAACATTCGTCGATCGAAGTGCAGAGATTGTTGGATCACGCTGCACGAGCTCGCCCGCACAACACCTCGGACACGCTGTCAATCAATGAGACCCGGACTTGGATCTATCAGTTAATCGATCCAATTCTCAAAGCCTGTACAATGATCCAGAGAAACTTGCAGCAACTGGATTGGCAGAAGGAAGAGCTGATGCAAGCTGAGAACAATGTTGAAGAATTGCGGAGATTGGCGACGATTCGAGTGACTTCAATAGAAATCTTAGCGCTATCGATTCCCGAAACCGTTTGTCGGAGTCAAAAATGTGCAAAGTATGAAAGGATTGGTGGAAAAGAAACGTTGATCTACAGGGTTTGCCACAAAGATTGCAAACCAGGCGATAATGGAAAGCTAGACGGATGTGCAGTATTTCGTGGTGGCTTCTGCATTAAATGCTCCTGTCACCTAGATGATCACGAGCGAATCTCGTACGAACAACGCATCACCACAAAATCTCTGGAAAACCCACAAAAACTCGCCTCAGAAGCGAATGCAGCCAAGATGAAGAAAAATTCGATTCGAAAATTTGAGCGACTCATCAATGGATATCAAAAAGAATCCAATTACATTTTATTCGCAATGGCAACTTTTTCTGCTTTCATTGCTGAGAATGGGATCACTCAGAAAACGAATCTCTTTGAACAACACTTACAGAAGCTGATTGTTGCCGAAGAAAAGAAAATGAAAAGCGTAGCTGGGGTGGAGGCGGATGAATTCCATCGACTGCGCGATCTCAAGGTGACTTATGGAGATATTTGCAAACAATTTTTTCCTCAACGAGACTCGGCAAAGATCTCACTTGATGAGCTGCAAGAAATTCGACAAAAGTTGTTCTCTTTGCCGCTGAATGGCGCAATTATTGCAGAGATTTTCGATATTCATGTGAAAACCGATCATCAGGATTATGAGGCAACTGTGACACGCTGCGAGAAATCGATGTTTCAGTGAGTTTTGCAAAAAGTAGCTAGACAAATAGATAGAAAAATAGAGACATAGATACAATAAGTCCCAGTCTTTTACTCATTGCATTATATTGGAATGATTTAAGCATAGTCATTTGCACAAATCCAGCTCTTGCAGCTGATTTTTGAAGTAACTAACTATCTAGCATTCAGACAACCCTATAGTAACCCTAGAGTAATGCGTCTTCCAAAAGGTAGCTTTCTGAATTAGCCACCTTTTAGAAAACGCACCACTCATTGAAACCTAGCAACTAGCTTAAAATTCTAGAGCTTCCGTTTTATTTATTTAGTAAAGCTTCAATAGAGCTCTACTAAATAAATAAAACAACTAAATAAATAAAACTAAATAAAATAGAGCTTAAAATAATGGAAAAAAATTCACAAAATGAACTCCAAGATCTAAACTAAAATTTATGAAGATAATTTTTAGCATGTATTCTTGAAACTTTTACAATACTTCAGAAAATGGCAATAAATTATAAATTTTAGAAAAATCTGCGGTGATGTGAAGAAAGTGTTCTCGTTTTTTGGTGGCTCCACGAAATAATCCAAGAAAATATCGAAATTTCGTTTTTGTCGATAAACTATCTACTATGCTTTGTTTCATTTCCCATTTGGTTATCTCATCCAAAAGATTGTCTTGATTGAATTTTAAATACTATTTACTTGTGATGCCTCACTTGCAAAACAGCGCTTTCCTCTCGTCGGATTCGTCGGATGCCGAGAACGAGGATTTCGAGCAAGTGAGTGGAAATTTATTTACCTAAGCATTAATACATTAAAGAAATTGAGGATTACTGTACTTTTTAATACTAGGGTAACGCTATTTCAATTAGTGACTCTTAAATCTTTGAAAACTGACTTGATCTTAATCAGAAATAATTCCTAGTTCTCTCAAATTAGGCCGGAAATGTATCTTTTTGCAATGGTTTACAGTAGATTTTTAATTTCTTTGAGGTTGCCTTACAGAGAACGGGTTGTTTATTCATAATCGTCATCTGCATATCAATTTTCAGATCGCAAATCCTCGTCCAGTGCCCGTGTTGACCGCTCTCTCGCCACCGATGCATCAACAAATGTCCAACTCTTCATCGGCGATTCCTCAACAATTTGACGCTACACCGCAAGGTATGCAAAGAATAAAAACAATAAATTTTGTACTGTGCTATGCATTGAAAAATTTTCTTTGCAAATTGATCCATTACGAGTTTTTAGCAAACGATTCTGCCTGTCAAACGATGTCCTGCCAATGGTTTCCTGCCGGGATTCCAACTGCATCTACTCCAAATTTGCTGGTACTTACACAAGTTAATATATGGGTAGCACAGATAACGTCAAGAATCCATTAGAGCTTCAAGATCAAGATCATATACAGATAATTTAAAGGTTTCGAGATTATTGGACTCTCTCAAAACTCTGGGGAGTCGATTCCAAATTCTGGCAGTTCTTATTGGAAAAGAGTTATACACAAACTTATTGAAGGTGACTGGAATTTCTAAAACGAAAGAACCTCTCCTTGAACTAACCGTGGGATTAACTTTGAATAAATCTCGAAAAAGAGGGACAGGTTGCCCGTCCTTTACAATTTTGAAATATTCTATTAAATCCGTGACCAAGCGACGGTGTCTAAGAGATTTAAGATCAAAAATTGTGAGTCTATCTGTGTAACTAAAGTTTGCAAATTTGGAAAAATCTATTTTCCATAGAGCTATCTTAGTATGTCTCTGCTGGATTTTTTTCTAGGCGAGAGATATCAACTTGTGTATGTGGAGACCAAACTATAGATGCATACTCTAGAATGGGTCTAACGTAAGTGATGAAACGCTGTAAGTGTCAATTGTCGGATGACAAATTGCTTTTAGGATACGACTAGAGACGAAAGGAGCTTTACGGCAAATAATTTCAATGTGTTTTGAGAAATTTAAAGGTGGGAAAATATGGACTCCAAGATCTCTGTTATAATCCTCTTTGCCAATTCTGTTTAATGGTGTAGAATTAATTTTCAGCGGGTAAATAGCATTTCCGGTGGAGAAATTAAGGGATTTCGTAGACTCTAAAGCTAATTTCCAATTATGGACCATTTTTCAACCAGATCAAGATCTGAAATCGTGTCTCTTAAAGAAGCAAGCTTAGCGGCTTCATCATTGATGGTGATTTTAAAGGTTAGTTTAGCGTCATCAGCATAAAGCCAGATAGATGAGTCCCTAGGTGAAAAATTTAATTCAGCCAAATCATTAATGTAAATTGTAAAAAGTATAGGACCCAGAATACTCCCTTGGGGTACACCGCTAGAGCAATTAAAGGAAGGGGAGAGAGAATCGTTTAGAAGAACTTTGAAAGTTCGCTGAGTAAGGAAAGTTTCAATAACTGAAATCATCGAGCGGCAGATTTTATATGCATGAAGTTCGTGAATTAAGGATTTAAGAGGGACAGAGTCGAAAGTCGAAATCTAAAAACACAGCTTCAAGCTGATAGTGCTTACGTTGTTTTTGATCCACGACCTTAAAGAAATCTTGGTAAGCTAAAATAAGCTGGTAAGTGGTGGACTTATTTTTAAGGAAACCAAATTGATAGTCGGAGATAAGTTCATGCTTATCAAGATGAGCTGTAATTTTATCTTTAATGATAATTTCAAAAATTTTGGATACAGGGGAGGTTAAAGAGATGGGACGATAGTTATTGAAAAGGTTTTTAGGAGATTTTTTGAGAAGGAGAATAACTAAAGGTTGTTTCCAAAAAGAGGGGACACCTGAAATGAGAAGAATTTTGTTGAAAAGTTTTAAAAGAGGGTAGGTAAGCACTCTAGAAAGTCTCTAATAGCAAAAGCCGAGGTTATCTGGACTAGACGACTTCTTGGGCCGTAATTTAGAAAAAGCTTTCTCAATGTCCGCTACAAATATTAAGAAATCTGGCTGCACGTCAATGTGCTTTACCGAAAAGGCCGGACACTGTTCGTTTTTATCTGTAACCGTATATACACTATGAAAGAATTTGGCAAACTCAGTGACGATTGTACTGGGATTGGAAATAAGTTTAGTACTGTCTAAGGGGCCAACGAAAGAATTGGAGACTATCTTTGGATCTTTTTTTAGAGTTTAAATAGGAGGAGAAAGACTTGCTGCTTTTCGAATAAACAGCTTTCCTTTCAATGTTTGACTCAAACCTTTGACAAAATTTCGAGAGCTTGCGCTGTTCTTTGATTACTAGTGGGTCAACCAGAGGATTTGCGTAATTAGATCTTTCAAAAAAATGTAGAAGTCTTGCTTTAACTCTCGCAATATGATTTGGGGCTAATTTTACAGGGTGAGTGCAGGAGTTTTCTATGGCAAGGAGGATTTTAGAACAGAGAAAATTATAGTCATCATCTATAGAATTTATCCTAGAGGAGAAAGAGCTCCCTCTAAGGGAGTTTAAGAGGGAAAGAGCTGCTTGGTCGGGATTAAAATCAAAATGCACGCAACCTTTCCGCGGAGGAGTCGAAAATTGCAGCCCTCCAATTTTGAACGTTATCCCATAATGGTCAGATCCAGGAAGGGGTTCCAATCGCTTCAACTCCATGATGACATCAGGGGAATCGGACAAGACCAGATCTAAAATAGAAAATGAACGGCAGAAGGTAGCAAATGTGTTTAAAATAAATAGAGAGCATGTAATAAGGAAATTTTGTAGCAAAATGGTGGGATGATGGTACTTATCAAACACAAATTTGTCATTAGAATAGGTCACTTGAAAATTTAAATCGCCTAGTAAAATGTTGACTTTCGAATCATGCAAGAAAAGTGATAAATGATCAAAAAGACGAGAAGTATCATCATAATTCACGCTAGGGGGTCGATAAACGACAAGAAAACGAACCTTTCTGCCAAGATAAACATCTACAATTATAATTTCACAGATAAAGATGGAACTGCAGTAAATTAAAGTATTTAGATACAGTCTTGATGACTTAATTTAAAATACATACATACGTAATTTGTACGGTAATTTGTTTCCTAAGCGTACCTTTTAGAAAATACTTCAATTTTGATGAATCTAAACATTTAAGAACTCAATTTTAAGGCATCCAACCGCGACCCCAGGCTCCTTACTCAGCATCACAAACACCCGTTCCACAGAAATCCAAGCCAAAAACACAAAATAGTAAATGAAACATAAAGCTTCTTTCCAATTCAAATGATTTCCAGGCAAGCCAAGCTCTGCGAAGAATCCGCCAGTTTTGCCGGGCTTACCCACTTCCCATCAATCAAAGAACAACCAATACTCTGGGCCTCGAAAAGAGATCAACATTCTTGTACTCGGTGAAACTGGAGTCGGAAAATCGACGTGGATCAATGGCATCGCCAACTATATGAGCTTTGATCACATCGTTGATGCACTGGAAGCACCAGAGCCGATCTGTGTCATTCCATCAATGTTCACGATGTGTGACGAGAACTATCAACAACGACAAATCGTCGTCGGAAACTCGACAAATGAAGTGTTTGGACAAGGACAAAGTGCGACACAAGACGCTCGAACTTATCTCTTCACACACCCGAAATATGATGTCGGGCAATGTAGGGTGGGCAAAGTTGTACAGTTTGTGGTTGTTTATGGTCTACTCACATGCACATTCGCTTCAAGCAAGTGAAAACGAACGAATCGGTTGAAGATTTGAACATAAAGAATGCAATTCAAACGAATGAAGACGCTTGAATCACAAAGCAGAAAATTATCGAATCTTGTGAGAAAATCGTGAAAGAATACAAAAATGAACAGAAAACGGTGATGGATGCCAGCATTCGTTTTGCGGCTTTCTTGAAGCAGAATGCGATTATGACCTATAATGATGTTTTTGACAAATATGTGGAAAAGTCGATTGAAGAAGAGGAAAAATGCATGAAAGTATTTTCAATTTCAAACGCTCTAGAAAACTTAGAAAGTTTAGAGGAACTCATTCAAATGAAAAATAGCTGATAGTATCTAAAACCTAGTGGTATTTCTTTAATTAATCAACCACTTTGGAACATAGGATCGCTTGCCATTCTTAAAGTTAAATTAAAATAACTAATAAACTTTCAAAAAAACAAACATATTCAACTGTTTCAAACAGCTATTAAATGGAAAAAAAACATAAGAAATTTATTCAAACAATCACACGTTTCACTTTCTATACTGAACAATGAGATTTGTTTTTGTGACCACTTCAACAACGTCGAGATCCGGGAAATCAAATAATTTCTCATAAATGGACGATTTTCGCAAGCCAGTGCCAACAATTAGATCATCTTTTAGTTCTAAAATTCTCAGGGAATAGTTCGCAAAAGTGATCTTCTCTTGTTCACTCGGTTTCTCACTTGCCAGGAATTTCTGCTGTTGGTGAATTGCAAGCAACTTCTTCAGCTTATCAATCTCATATCGATCACTTCCCTTTTTTGAGCGTTTGCTCCAATTGTTCAATCGAGAATTCGGCATATTCCTCGAAAGCAGAATTCACTGAAACGATTAGGTTCTTCCGGGAGCTTGAGCTTACAGTTTTTCAATACGTTTTTGACTGTTTTACTTTTTAGGTAGAATGGACAATCTTCGAGACGGACTGGAGGAGCTCTCCGGGATCTTAAGTGAAATCCCTTTCAAGAAAACGATTTGAAGGGAAAAAATGAGGTAGCGATGTGGATGCAAATTTAATTGAAAACACGGTGTAGGAAAAGAAAACGAAGCGGAAAACGATCGACATCAAGACGAAACTCGATGTTGTGAAAATGGCTCGATTGACTTCTATTCTTCAAAATTGATCTCTGTCTTGTGTGCGGCGATACATCAAACAAGGAAATGAGCTCGAGAAGCTTCATGGAAAAAAAAAGGAATCGACGTGGCCGGTGGCCGCTTGACTTCGGCTGAAACCGACGCGGCTTTGGCGCTGTGAATTCGTGAGCGAAGAGCCGAAAAGAAACGCGCACGTTTACGAAATAACATTTAAGTCGGAACCTGGTCTGCTTGGAAAGAAGTTGATGTTCTGCGTATGGTGGAACTATCGTGGATTGGTTTATTTGAAACTGTTCAAACCGGGTAAAACTGTCACAGCTGAACTTTACAGTGAGCATTTAGAGCGTGTGAAGAGCTTTATCGAAATCTCGACGTGACTTCAAAAATTCGGTTTTTGTATGATAATGCAAAACCGCACACGGCAAAGATGACCCTCCAACAAATCGAAGAGATGGGCTGGAAACCTTTACCTCACGCCCTATAAAGCTCTGACTTAGCCCCATCAGACTCTCACTTATTCAGGTCTCTAAAGCAGCTCATCTCCGATTCG